AAAAAGACAGAGAAAGATAAAAACAAAATTCCTTTCTCACAAAAATGATGCTTCACTACATACCATTATTCTTTGAGCATTGTTCGAAAGTGTTCTCAATCTAATTCTTTATCGTACACCAAGAGTTAGAGTCATGTATCCCTAGAGGTCGATTGCTACGAGTCTATATGTGCAGTATGAGGCAAAGTCGATTTTAGGGCAGTGATGATGCTATGTCACGCTACGACATTATTAAATCAGATTAGTTTGTTTTAATCCTTATTGCTATTAGTCGTATTTCCTACAATTTAAAGTCGGATTTATAAATTCGTCTATTGTGGCTAATGTTGATACTTGTTTATGGTATAAAGGACTATATGTTATCAAGTTTATGTTTGTATATACTTAACTTAGTCATATTTCCTACAATATAAAACCATGGATCGTGCATGGTATTTTCAGTGTGAGGAGAATATATGTTGCATAATATAATTCCAAGTTATTTAATCTATATTAAGAAATTGTATATAACCTTCTCGTACATGTTTAATGGCGAATCCAGGATTTTAAGGCTGTTGGGCCACCGTCACTTATCGACCGTCACCCATCGACCGCATACCCATTGATCTAGGAGGTAGATCTTTGTTGAGGATGATTTTGTGATATAGGATAATTTTAATGAGGAAGAAGTTGCATTTTGGACTAAAGAAACTAGCTTGTTATAAATTACATGTCTTTTTTCTTTTTCGTTATGAAAATTAAGTCACAATTTCAATTAGATTACACAATCCTATATTGTCAAAAATACCCAAGTTAAGTATATAAAAACATAAACTTGATAATGAATTCACCAAAACATATAAAAAAAAAAAAAAAAACAACAACATAACATGATTATGATATAATAAATAAATTATATACTCAATTTAGCAAGCAATTCAATTATCACTATGTTTGGTTTAAATTCAACAATTTTCAATTTAGCAAACAATCAAAATGCCCATTATAATTGTAATACCCCGTATCTTGCCCAAGGTAGAGAATAACCAAAGGTAAACTCTCTCTCTATCTCCTCTCTCCTTTAATTTTCCTCCTCCACTTTCGTTTTAATTTCACACACATCACCCCACACACACACACCTCCACCACGGTGACAGTTGCCACCACCACCACTGTCGGCAATCGCCGCTAGCAAAGTGCCGGCAGCCGCAATCGCCAGCATAGGGCCGGCAGCAGGAGCAGCGTTGGAGGTGGCGCTAGCCAACCTCCCCTTCCCCCCTTGTTATTCGTGTGTTTTCAAAAAAAAAATTCTTTTGTTTTACAATTATTCAAGCTTTAATTCAATTATTGTTTTTGGGTTGTGTGATGATTTTTATGATGTTTGAATATAATTATTATGTATATAATTTTCATATTCGGTTTTTGAATTAATAATCCCCAAATTGAAAACCCTAGGTTTCTAAATTAATGTGTGTTGATGAAAATTGATTGTAGGTGATTGAAACTAATAAATTAGATGTTTTAACATAATTACATCAATTTTACATGGTTTTATGAAGCTGGAATTTTTATATAAAGGCTATAATTATGTTTCTTAAAAGGATTTTTAATTACCCATTTATTAAGAATAAATTAAAAGTAAGGGTTTAAAATTAATTTTCAACTTATTTTAGAGGGTTTCTGAGTGATTTATGGAGTGTATATATTGCTGAAAATATATATTGAACGGGTATTAATGTCTCTTTGTAATTTTGGGTTGTAGGAGATTTCTAAGAGAGTGATTTTGTGTAGGCGTGGTGATTTTGAGATCATATTCAAGGTACGTTCGCGTACTTGGTAATTATTTAAGTTTATAGAAGCATGCTAGGCTTTATTTAATTATTTCCATGGTAGTATCATGATAGGTATTGGTTGGAATTGTGGATTGGATTGATGTTGGTGATTGATTTGTGAAGTATGAATTATTTGTGGTGAATTGATGAGTGAAATTAATTATATTGGCATGTTGAATATGAACTACACTTTTATTATTGGCATGATTGAGAGCATGTTTATTTAAACTAAATGTTTAAGTTGGTTTGGAATATTGAAAGGGAATTTTAACTTGATCAACATACATATTCACCATATTCACCTAACAACTCTGGTTTTAACATGATCAACATATTCACCATATCGGACTCTCTACATAGTGAGTATGAGATCAATACACACTCCATTATTACCGCATGTGGAGGCCATAACATTTAGACTTGTACAACCTTACTAGTTCTTGTCAAACCATACCTTTTCACTAGTAGAAAAAATGAAAAAGGCACCCCCTTTTCCCACTGGTTTTTAAAAACGATGGGAAAAGAAATGGGCAGGACTTGGATAATTTCTTTTCCCACCGGTTCCTTATAAACCGGTGGCAAATCTTGGATTTCGCACCGGTTCATCCCAAACCGGTGGGAAAAATTTATTTAGAACTGGTCAATTTTCTTTCTTACTCTATCATTTCCTCGATCTTTCCTCCTCTCTCATCTGCCTCTCTCTCTCCTCCATTGAAGCGTACTCGACATTCTCCATTGAAGGGGCTTCTGATTTGCAAGTGCCCACCGTCGACCATTGCTGGGTCTGCCTCTAATTGTCGGTGCTAGTGATGGTGGGTTCCAGCCTCTAATTGTCTCAAGCACCACCGAATTTGTTCGCAAGTGCCCACCGTCGACCTTTGCTGGTTCTGCCTGCTCCGGTCGCACGCACCACCGTCCTTGTGCTCCACCACCACCGTCCAACAGCTGACCACCAAGTTCGTTGTTGAATTCTATTTATTTAACTTCTTACCTCAATTTCGTTTTCTTCTTGCTAGGGTTACAATTTTGATTGCAGTTTTTAGGTCAAAATTGGGGCAATTTCATTGTTATTGTTGTTGTTTTTAAATTATTATAGGTTATTAGTTCTGAAATATATTGGCATTTTTCTAGGGTTTTGTTAATTTAGATTTTTCAATTTATTTTTATTAGCTTCTAATTTTCTGGAATACATGTTTGATTCCTTAATGGTCCAGGATAGAAATGGAAATTTAGCATCCGACACGATTGCGAACCTTGTTGATGAGCTTGGTGCTGTGGTTATTTACAGAGAAGGACTTCCAATGAATGTATCTGTCACCATGTCTATCTCCTATGTGTCAACTGCCAAGGTTGATGTATGTGTAACTTCAATTCTTGAACTTCTTGTTATTGTTTATCATGCTGATCATACTTTAGTTTGTTGTATTAGTGACTTGTGATGGTTTGCTTCATTATGAATGTTAACATGAGCTATTTTGGCTCGGGCAAATGCTAGTGATACTACTCAAATTTAAGCTATTTTGTTGATACTAGTCTAGTTTTAACTATTAAGTAGATTATTAGAATGACTTTTTAATTGTTTAGTTAATTTTATAATTTTTTTGGTGTGTGTGTGTGGGAGGGGAGTGACTGAAGATATCTCATTCTTGTCATGATGTGAAGTCTGATGAATAGAGCAAGAAGCCCATAGCTTAGTGGAGCAAGGCTTCAGTTCCCGTGGCTGTGACTTGGGTTCGAGGCTCATATCCCCCCTCCCCCGTGGGTAATACCCCCTTGATATTCCTGTGATAGGAAATCAAGGTGAAGCCCACCCCTTACCCCTAAAAAAAATGAAGTCTGATTTGCTTATTATGCCAACATTCCTTCCTCCAAGAAAGAACGGTTAAATTATTTTTTCCGTAAGGCAATTCATGAGTTGAGTGGTTATTATTCAGTCTCTTTAATGAGGCTAACTAAGGATAATTAAGCATATGCTCTATAATTTATTAAACTAGATTATGATTTATGCATCATTTCTAGAAGAATTTTAAGTGTATACACGAACAGTTAAGACTCATGAGGTTTCTTTCATGTGATTATTTATGAACTAATTGCTACATTCCTGAACTTGTAGTGTTTTTTCCCCATCTGTATAAAGTAAATAAATATCTAGTTTTCAGTTCTTATGCCTTTACTAGAGAAGAAAATACTAGTAGTTATAACTGTTGATTCACATAATGTTTCATGGTTAGATCTTTGGTTATGTTCTTGGTGTTTCTGCTGGGTTTGTTGTTGGTAAGGCCCTATGGTTCATACTAGGGCTTGCATCGCCAATCTACTTGGTCAGGGTGGCTCTCGCAAGTATGGTTTGACCTGGAATTAGCTTAGATATTTCAAGAATGATAGAGACCGGCGAGATTTGACCACATGTGGTGCTGCAGCTGGAGTGGCTGCTGCTTTTCGTGCTCCTGTTGGTGGTGTACTTTTTGCCCTTGAAGAAGCAGCCTCCTGGTATGCTTACTCTTGGTTACCAGCAAAGAAAATTTTGTACAATTTGAATCTAGAATTTGATGCATCATATAAGGTTTCATGCATGAAGCTTAGCATAGAACAAAGATTTTAATTTGTCCATCTATCTTATTGTTAAAGCCTCAGTCATATCTTGGACCTAGTTTATGTATATGTGAGGGATAAGATGAATTTATTTATTAATTTAGGTAATCTTATTACTGCAAAATGAAAATCTGATGATGGAAGTGGAATGTATAAGATATTTATAATGGATAGGATCCTAGATATGTACATATGTAGTAATGCTATTCTTTTCTGACAACTTAAAGCCTATGTTACTTTGGCTCTTCAGCTTGTCTTCCTACCCATGTCGAACAATCGACATTCTGACAAGGGTATATAATTCTTACACAACACTCCATGCTCACTCATTCACTTCAATTATCTTGAACCCCTAATTTTAGAGAAAAAAATGTACAAATATAATGAAGATGAGAATAAGTACGATATGTTTTCACAAGTACGTTTCACACAAGTATTTCAACAAAAATTAACTATCAAGTCTGCTTAACATGTGTGCATGCATCTGTATGCTTTAACTCACGCAAAGTCTTCTAAAAATGAACATGTTCCATATATGTCGTGTGACTCGTGTCCTTGCAACCATGTCCAATTCTAGGATGTGTGTCGTATCTGATTTTTACATTCTAGTGTAGCAATTATTTTGATATGTACCTGCATCCCTATTCTCCTTCATATATACTAGAGGATTTATATCAACTATGGCAATGATAATGTCCTCTATGCAGTAACTCAGTTAGCACAAACTGTGATGCGTAGTGCTATTGGAAAAATGCCACTTGACAGGACCTTTATGGAGAGAGACACTATAAATGCAAACATTGTGGTATGATTCTTATCACCATGTCCTTAATCCTTTACTATTATACTTTTATCTCTGAATATTGACATATATATTCCTTATGCTTGCGGTGTATGATCTTATTTGCCTTAGTAGGGTTTCTTCATATTGTGTTTCAATGTGTGATGTATGAGTAAGTTTATATTTTACATGAATTAGTAGGGTTTCTTCAGCATCAACAAGTAGGGTGCTTTACTCTTTTTAGCTAAGTTCTTGTTCGTGGCGCGTTCGATTTGCTTTAAACTTAAAAGGTTTAATCTTGCTTTCCTCAATTTATTTTTCCTCCAATATTTTACTTATTTAGCATTTTCAATTAATTGCAAATTCTGATTATAATTTGGACTAATTTGAGCTTGATCATGCTGTAGGACTTCAATATGAGTACAAAGCAGTTGATCTTATCAAAGGGGAGCAATTTAATCCAGGTGACTAAAAGCTGTTGCTTCGTCTTCGTTATTTATTATGATTATTATCTGACCACTTAAATAAAACCAATGTACTGCTCTCAATTTGGTCAATTTAGTTGTTTTATGTACATATATTGAAGGTAGTAGTTTTTAGTGGGATGTTAATTAACATTTGTAGTGAAGTTGGAAATTTTATTATGATTGCTTTCAATTAAAATCATTTTGAAACACTGGAATTGAAATAATCTCGTGTTTTTCGTTGATCAATACTCTTATGATATTAGTTTTCCAAGCTTTTTTTAATTGAGAAGTTATGTTAACACATGATACTGACTGTTATTTGTTGTTAACATAAACGCTTGCTTATTTGCTGTATTAAATTCCAACAATAGCTAAGTTGTAATTATTCGCGGTGGTTGGTAGAAGCCTGGGACCAGAAACTGTGTGAGTCCTTGTTAAATTAATCCCTGCTCCTCCCATATGCACAATGTGCTGAAGGATAGTAATAACCATTGATAGTATTATTACTGCTAGGATACATGGTCCACAATAGGCTAAGTCCCTGGCTAAGCTGCCCTCTGCTGTGGACTTGCATAGTTTCTGACATTTGATTCGTAAGTCTTTCAGATCTTACAAGTGAACTACCAAGTATGAGTTAATCAAATACGGAGTTCTAAATAACAGTCACGGTTGTGTCAACATGCATTCAACAGCTATCTGTGGTTTTTTCAAAGTTTTGTCTGGCCTTTTAGCAACCCACAACCTGAAAGAGTAGCCATGACTACCTTATACGACTGATTTTAGTTAATGTCATTGCAGTCCATCACCTCATAGAAAATGTATTAACTTTAAAGTTGATAAAGATTTATGATTTGAGGGAAAAGAAATTTTGGTGGGTGCAACGAACTAGTATTAACTAGTATATACCATGCTGAGTTTGTCTCGTGCAGGTCCTGTAGCAGGTCTTACTCTGGTACAGATTCTGCTGCAGTCTCTGTTCTGGGTGTTGGATTTGGTTTGCTGGGTTCTGGCTTTGTTGAGTTCAGGTCTGCTAGGGTCTGGTTTACAGACGCTCGGGTTTCTGGTTTCTAGTTGTTGTGCTGTTCCTGGCTACTGGGATCTGGTTGCAGGCTCTGGTGTAGTTCATGTGCTGGATTTGGTTGCTGCAGGTGTTGGGTGGCTGGCTATGCTTGGTATGCTCATCTGTTTGGAAACCTGCTACTGGAAGCCTGCTGGCTGTGTCTGTTTGGGCTGTTTCTGTTTTTTGTTTCTGTTAGGGTGGGCTGCTGTCTTCTATTGCAGTGCATCATGGTTGGCTATTTTTGAAGAAAATATATATGTTAGTGTTTATATGTCCATTTTTTTTTTAGTTTTTTAAAGTGTAATATTACAAGTTATTGAGGCAAATGTATGTGTTTTATGTATATTATGATTATATATAAGTATTTGGTACAATTTAAGTGAAAAAAATGCAAAAAAAAAAATAATTTTTTTTTTAATTTTTTAGGGCACTTTTGGCACCGGTTTTGGAAAGAACCGGTGCTAAAAGTTTTCCTAAAATTTTTTTTGGAGACTTTTGACACCGGTTCAATGTGTAAACCGGTGGGAAATGTCATGGTTTTGCCACCGATTCACCCCAAAATCGGTGGGAAATGTCTTCCATCTATAACATAAATCACATGTTTTTGCCACCCGGTTCACTCCAAAACCGGTGGGAAAAGTGGTTTTTTCCACCGGTTTTGAACCGGTGGGAAATCTTTGAGGATTTAGCACCCCCCAAATCAAGAACGATTCAAAACCGGTGGGGAATGTGTGGTTTGAACCGGTGGGGATTGGGGTTTTTCGCCTAGTGTTTACTTCTGCTCTCAAGCATGGAGAAAACCCGATCACTTCTTGACCTTCAACAAGAAAAGTCAAAATGCTGGTTCTCTAGCAGTTACACACATTTCAAGTTCAAAAGATAAGCCAAAGAACACAAGAATTAACAACGATGATTCTAAATCCCCTTTTTCAAACTAAAGGGAACATCACAGGCTTAAATAATTCAACACACATACTATCAAAAGATAGAACAAATAACATCCATGATCAACTAGGAAAAATGTCAATACACATAATCATACATGATTAAACTAAGCACACAAAAAATGGCAGTTATAAGGTACTAGAACTTTAGCAAAATTAATTAGCACTGTTGCTAATAACTCACAAAAATTCCCATCTCAAAAACACTTACCAACGTGAGTTTAGAAATATCTTACATAAATTTGAGAAGGAACATATCTGATATTGAGCACGATTGACCGCGCATCCTGTCTGCTACCTTGGTACGACACGCAGACTTTCTCAAGATTACCCATTGCATCTGTTAACTAGCACACGACCTCGTTCCAAAGAGAACAATCCTTTGATGCCATGGTCGCAGTACCACAACAGTACGCTCACTTTGATTATTAAAGTTAATTTGATTTCAATGAACAAGCACTGTCCATCATTAATCCATAACAAAAGTAAAGTCTACAAAACCACACGACCGTGTAGAGTAACGTAGACGACCATGAGTATCACAGGGTCACGTAGTACAAGGTACATGACCATGTATCGGATTGTTGTACAATAATGAGTTTTCAACCAAGGAGTTACTCTCACCTACTCGTTCGAACAAATCAACTCGATTAAGTCTGAGATAAAAACTTTTCGGTTGCATTACTAACTCCAACATACTCTACTAGGAAGCTTATCATATCTCAATGGCAATTTGGGATACATACACTTCATTCAAAGTATTGAACACGTACTTGTCTGTTAATTGAAAAGACATAATATACTAGTGTGAGATCTTGTTGGATATTGTATGTTTTATCAATATCTAATTTATATAATTTTTACACATATGAAAATAAAAATAAAATCATTTTAACATGTGTATTAGAGACTGTGAAAAAGTAAAAAAAAAAATGCATTAAAATATTAGGCTAAGAGGGAGTATATATAACAGTGGACCCATATTATATAAAGGTACTTAATAGTTGAAGTCGTCACATTCAAGGGGAGTACGTATATAATAATCCATACTTCTTACATGTAAAAAGTACACATTTAAAAGAAACGGCCGTAAATTTCATCAATGCCGTAAATTTCATTAGAAACAACCAATAATAAGAAGATAGGAATTGAATATTTGGTGATAGATGAACTATTTTTGCTACTATGTATCTTGTTAAATATCTTAATCATTGCCATAGTATTAATTAGCCAAAATTAAAGGGATTGAAGTTTGATAATTGAAGAACAAGTGAAGCAGCGTGATTGGAAAAATTTATATTTTTGATCATGTTATTCATGGAAACTGGAGAAGGAGGAGGTGAAGAGATTAGAAAACATTGTAAATTTCACCTAATTGACTGATATGATAGCTAAGTAAATAATGCTAATTGCTAAATAAATTGAGTAATTAACTCTTAGAAAGCTCTTTGTTGAAATGTAAGTTGGATAAAGAACACGGAGCCAAATCTACAACTAAAGCCCACAAGTTACAAAGTATTAAATTAAACTGATTTTTTTTATATAATTTTGGGCCTTTTTTGGCGTGGGCCCTAGACTGTCGCACTAAGGGCTGAAACTAGGTTTGCATCTCACAATCTTGAGGTTGTGGGATATATAAAACTAGGGCTGAGCAAAATTATTTGAAGATCCGAAAATCCGATAATCTGATCCCCATCCGATCCGAAAATTATGGAAATCCGATCCGAATATGAATTCAAATCGGATATCTGATCCGGATTTTTAAGATATCGGATATCCAAATTTTGGATTTCAAATATCCGATATCCGAAAAAAAGTTGGACATCAGACATCGGATATCCGATCCGATACCCAAAAAATAGTTGTTTTTCCATTTTTATTTCTCGAATATTCTCTATTTCATAGCCTTTTCACATAAAAAAAAGGTTAAAGACTAGAACCCTAATTCCCTAAACAGAAACGCATTTCCCACACACTCCCGCCTCTCTCTTTCTCTCCCCTCTCTCCTCTCAAAGTCTCAAGTCTCTGAGATTTCAGTCATCTCACTCCTAAATCGAGTGCCCTCTTATCAGATTTTAGTCATCTTACTCCCAAATCAACTACGGTGACGGCATCTTCTCCATTTCTTGGGTCGGTGACATCGTGGCAGAGACAGCTACTCTATCTTCCTCACGGCTTCTTCCTCTTTAATAAGTTTCTTCCTCTTTTTAGTTTGCTCCCTTGTTCATTTTCTCCTCTTTTCTCTCCCTTAGGTCATTTAATGGTGATTTTTTTTTGATTTGATTTCATTTAATGTTGAATTTCATTTTCGCCTTCTATTATATTGTTGATTTCAATTCTTTTGTTTATGTATAAATTTCTAATTTCAATTCGTTTTTGTAAGTATAAATATACCCTTGTTTTTCTTCAATTACTGGTTCAATTAACATGTGTTCATACTGGCAGTATATAGGGTTATAGGTTGATTTGTGTTCAATTAGTGAGTTAGTGATGTTAGTGTTCAATTTTGTGGGTTGATATTTGATTGTTCATTATAATTAGTATGCTTTAATATTTAATTTTTGATAAGTTAATATTCTGCAATTTGTGGGTATTTAAATTCTAAAGTGGTCTAATGTTGTGTTGTAGATAATGGATGATATTACTGCTGAAAGTGTTGCCCCAACTAACCCGTCAAGTGAGGATCCCTAGGTTTCATGTGCTGCTGCTGTCGAGCCTGTTTGAGATCAAAATCCACCACCAACAGTTTCAGCAAAGAGACCTTCAACTGGGACTAGTAATGATGTAGGAGCTGAAAATAAAGGTAAGAAAAAAAGGTCTTGGCTTTGGGATCATTTTGTGTTGATAAAAAAAGGTGAGGATAAAAGTTCAAAATGTTTGTATTGTCAAGTTGATGTTTGTGGTGACTCTAAAAGTGGTCAAGTGTTATGAAAAATCATCTTTCAAGGTGTAAGGATTATCCCCCTAATATTTAGCAATCACAAAGGCTTCTTGC